TATTTTTCATTACATACTTTTCACTGAAACTCGGAGAAATTATCGCAGGAGAACGCTCGTCTACATTAGTACAAAATTTACCTGCCGGCCTTGAATACTGGAGTATAACTTGACGTTGTTCAGCTACTCTATTCATAATTTATCAAGAAGTATTCTGTAATTTCATTAGCCAACGTGTGCACGTTTTGGTTCTGGGCACCGAACGATAACATTAGTTTCATTCAAAAAACAACAAATACACTGGATGTTATGAAAGAAAGAAAGTTTAATCAGGAAACGACATAACTTCTTCTCGACGTATAGGTAACACGACAAATGTTTTGGCCTAGAAAATATCGTTAATTTTTGTGCGTTCCAATTTTCGATCTGTCATATGTCATTACAGCGAATAGATGAAAGGAAAGCTAGCTGAAATAAGAATTGATAACAAACATGCTACAAATTTATAAGACCATTCGATGCATTAAGTCTGAAACCAACAAAATGATAACATTTAATTTGATCTGATTGCGTTCTATTTTTTCCCTGCTGTTTCAGACATTTATACGCTCTACTAATAATGGGCGGATTCCTGTCAGACTTAAGGTTTCGTTTGTATAACTGCAGGCAATATTTCACTGGATACATTTAAAAAGAAAATAAGAAATTCCATTTGTTTTATGGACTTCAAAATGGATATTTTCATGTCTGACAGATGAAATACACCAGTCTGGAATATTTGCGATAATACCTAACAAAATACGTGTCACTTAAGATAATACACTTAGGTCTTTATATAACTTAATAGGATCTAACTCTTTCATGTTGTCAGTTCAGTTGTTTCTTTATCATGCAACATAATTTGATGCCTGAAACACTGTGATAATGTTTTTAACGCTGTCGGAAGGGCGTTAAAAGACTATCTTTGTGTTATAAGCAAACATTTACTTAGTATGTTGAAGTATTCTAGAATGCAGCTCATTATTAACTTCTGATCAAAGCAAGCTACTTACACAGATCAGAACTAAAAGTAACCTAGTAAATACTGCATGGCCAGGTGGTTAAGGCACTCGACTCGCAATCTGAGGGTCGCGGGTTCGAATCTCTGTCACACCAAACATGCTCGCCCTTTCAGCCTTGGGGGCGTTATAATGTGACGGTCAATCCCACTATTCGTTGGTAAAAGAGTAGCCCAAGAGTTGGCGGTGGGTGGTGATGACTAGCTGCCTTCCCTCTAGTCTTACACTGCTAAATTAGGGACGGCTAGCGCAGATAGCCCTCGTGTAGCTTTCCGCGAAATTCAAAAACAAACAAACAGTAAATACTGGGGTTAATTTAATATATCGATCCAAATAGGAATACGGAATGCATTAAAACAAATACTTTAATGTTTAGAATGTACAGATTTACCAATTGAGTATCCTTAGCAGTATTATTGGCCGTAATTCCAATAATACTCACGAGGTTCGGCCAGCTTAGGAGACTTAAGTTAGTTTTAAATCCAATGTATTAAGTTAATGCCGAAAAATAATCGCTTGATAATAAAATATATGAAACGTAATAAAATTAAGTATATGATATGCATACTAAAGATTTTAACCAACAGTGTAATTTAATGTAAGTTTAAAAAGTTTGGAATATAGCTTGACTTTCTTTAAAGTCCCTCTAAAGTTTTCCATTTGCACTTCTTCAAACAACACATTCAACATCTAATTTAATAATCCATATTTATGACTTTTTGACATTATTAAATGAATTTAACTATGATTATGCATCGCAATAACTACAACAATGCGCCTACAAACGGTATTTCCTATTGTGTTAAAAACAAATCTAACAATGATTAAAATCATAAGATATAAATGTTGTCAAAGCTGTATACTGTTTTTGCTATTTTTATTATTATTCTTGCTCCAGCTGCATCTGCGTTTTCGTGAAAACTACACAAAAGGCTATTTTCGCATAGTCGTACCTAATATTGAACTGATAGACTAGAAAGAAAACACTAATTATCGTCATTCACCGCCATCCATTTGATTACTCTTGTTTCACTGAATAGTAGGATTTACCCACAAAGTGCAAAGTGCAGTTTTGCGCTAAAGGGCCACGAACCACGAACCTTCGAATTTAAATTCCGAACACGCTAACCAATATCCCTCACCTGGACCTACGTATGATACATTGGTAACTTTTATGGCTTCGTGGATCCTGTTATATTAACACCTTTTTTTTTGCAGTATAAAAAAATAAACGAAAATCAGTTATGTTGATTTCAATTTTCTTTACTTGTTTTACTGTACAATAACCCGTTTTGAATGTAAGCTATACTATTACTCACACATCATCGACCATCATCTAAGTCAGGATACAAGGTTACAAAGATTATATACTGCCCTCTGTATAATATTATTTTTTTTCTAATTTTGATTACTAATTTATAAATGTGAGATTTGTAATAATGTCTCTAATTTTGTGGTTTTACCAGAACGTTATCTTCTAATTGTTTAAAAATATGAAATAATAAACAATTCTTCAAGGGAAATATTTCAGTTGTTTAGAAGTCACGTGTATTTGATATATTAATAAAAGCTTGTTATGTTTTGTTTTCAGTCAACTGAAACGTTTATGATTCCGAAATACTTTAAAACAAAGAGGCGTTACACAGTTTCACTTGTTTTTTTTTTTAATTATGCACAAAGCTACACAAGGGCTATCTGTGCTCTGCCCACCACGGGTATCGAAACCCGGTTTCTAGCGTTGTAAGTCCGCAGACATGCCGCTGTGCCAGTGGGGGGGGGGGCAGTTTCACTTATAAGTTATATAATATCGTACTTTGTTAACTCGGAAAGTTAATCTCACCTTATAAGAACGATCTCCCTTGGAAACACCACTTTTGTCATCGATCGTGCTTTTGATGGCCTTCGTTACAAGCAATTGTCCTATTTCACAATTTTTATAGTAACAAGCTTCTGTGAAGTTAATTTGTGTGTTGTCATCGATCGTGCTTTTGATGACCTTCGTTACAAACAATTGTCCTATTTCACAATTTTTATCGTAACAAGCTTCTGTGAAGTTAACTTTTGTTTTTTTATACACTTTATGAATTTCTAAATATCCGTTATATAAGAAACACCATTGAACCCGACGAAAAACTTTCTTTAAATCTGCTGTGCCTCGTTGGAAAGTCTTTTCGTCGTGGTCTCTCGCACATTCTTGTCCTTGTCGTTCAAGCACACCTGTATTTCGACCAGTGTTGCAACAAGATTCTATATCTCTCAAGTGATCTATTTTTTATGCTGTTTTTTTCAATATGTTTGCAGAACCGGTTATGCAATTATAGTTTAAGTTTTTTTTACGAGAGCAGATCTTTGTGTATCTTGCAACGTTTTCTGGTCGACCAGTATGTGAACATTGGAAGTGGTAGCTATTAGACTAATGAGTTTGCACAATTTATGTGAACATTACGAGCTTTATGTAGCATTATTATTATTAACTTATAATAACAAAACAAGTCACCGATTTTAAACATTTATTATTAAAGACTGTTTGTTTGTTTTTAATTTCGCGCAAAGCTACACGAGTGCTACCTGCGCCAACCGACCCTAATTTAGCAGTGATAGACTAGAAAGAAGATAGCTAATCAAAGCCACCCATTCCAAACTCTTGGGCTACTCTTTTACCAACGAATAGTGGGATTGACCGTCACATTGTAACGCCCTTACGGCTGAAAGGGCGAGCATGTTTGGTGAGACGGGGATTCGGACTATTATTAAAGAAGGAGGACGGGTTTGAGAATATTATGTGCGAAAGTATAAATTGATCTGTGTTTGATAAAGCATTCCATTTTTAACTCTGAATAGACTGTCTGGATAATTTCTAAGTAACTTTACATGCTGGAGAAGAATAAGAGACCTTATTATTTAGTTGTCATATTTGATGACAAATAGCGACATTATTTCCACAAACTGACGGAATGAAGTTTGAATGTATAATTTATGTATTTTTCAAAAGAAAACTAAATTTAATTGAGATTTATCTAAAATATTTCAAACGTAAGAAAAATTAAAAATTAAGCTATAAATGAAAGGAGTTAATAATATATATTTAAACATGTCACGGTAGAAGAACATAGAAAAATTAAAAATTAAGCTATAAATGAAAGGAGTTAATAATATATATTTAAACATGTCACGGTAGAAGAACATGATTTTGACCCAAAATTAAGATATAAATGAAAGGAGTTAATAATATATATTTAAACATGTCACGGTAGAAGAACGTGATTTTAACCCATGCAATTTCTAATTTATCCGAAGTAAGAGCAGTTCAAACATTAGGAAGACTGATTAGATGTTTTATACAAAGTTTGTTATTACATTTCCTTAGCCACATATTTAATTTGGAGGACAGTCCTTTATAACATATATATTAAAACATATCGGTACCTTCAGCACTTTCTCGGTAATTAAATAACAAAACTGTATGATTGAAGATCCAAATTAATGTTTTTTCAAAAAGTTTACTTGGCTTCATTATTTTTAACATTGAAATTCCATCCAAATAAAATTTCAAAGGCAGCTATAAAATTTACTAATTAATATATAATTATATACATTCCTTGCTAGAGGGCCTAAAAGTCATTAATTCCACCAATCAGACTTTGCTCATAACTCTTTAATTTTACCGACTGACGAAACGTATTGATAACACGCATAGATTTGAATATAATCAAAGTACCCTCACCCATTTTTTAATGTTGTCAACCTGAGCATATAGTAATAATTGATATAGGCAATGTGTTGCTTATAAAGAAACTGAAATGCAAATTATATCAGATTCTAATTTTCCAAACTCTTCCATAATCATCAAATGTAGTCTTCTTCCGGTGTAACTTCTGTTTCCAGCTCCATTCCTTCACATTTGCTGATTAAGGAACAACAGCGTTGTCAGAAAAAAATCAACAGCTTTTATACGACTTGTAACTTATTTTATAATTCAATAAAATCTGTTTTTGTTAATAGGAAAAGGCGATGTTTTCGGGGATGTTTTTTGGAAAGAACCTACGATCGGTCAGTCTTGTGCTAACGTCCGGGCCCTGACATACTGTGATATACACTCCATCAAGAGAGACAAGCTTCTAGAGGTTCTCAACTTTTATCATGCCTTCGCCAATTCTTTTGCGAGAAACCTTGTTCTCACATATAATCTCAGGCATCGGGTAAGAAATTTAACCTCATTTCTTTGTAATAGTTTTGTTGTTGTAACGATAAGTGTTGTATTGAAATTGTAGGTAACGAAAACGTGGACTGCACCTGTCTTTTGGTGGAAGATGTCTTGGACCTTATGTTAAGGCTTGTTTTCAGTTCCAAAACGTCATCTATCTTATTAACTAAGTCAAGAAACGTCCATAAGAAATCTCAACTCACTACTATATGGGTTTCAACACATTGAACTTGAAGTTCTAGTCAGTTTGAACAAAAAGATTAATGAAGTTAAGTGAAAAAATTGTCACTGTTATAATGAATTCATGGAAGCTCGTATTCATACACAATGACATTCCAGGAACTTCTCAAGTACAAAAAACATATATAGTTTTTGATTATATATACAAAATACATAATTAAATAAGGGTTGAGTCGCAAAATATAGTATTTATTGACTGCTGAATTTCAGAGTTGTTTTTAGAGGGAAAGTCAACCGCCAACTTTTGGGTTACTCTAATACTCTAATCGAAAAGTAGGATTTAACCCCCCACTCTTATAGCACACCCACGGCTCCAAAGAACAGAGCGCGAACCATGAACTCTCAGGTTCACATTTCGACATCTAAACATTAAGCCATACACGGACCATTTTGAATAAGCTAACATATACAAAAAAGTATTTGGGTTAGAGAAAATATATAATGGGGTATAGTTGTGAGTAATGAAGTATTTACAATATGGTGATTTGTCTCAAAGTTGTATTATAAATGAAAACACATAATTTGTTTAGTGCTATTCAATAAAACAGCCGTAGTGTCAAGCCATGATATTTTGTGGCTGGTCGTAGTCTTGTGGTTTGCGTGCTCGGACTGTGAATCCGAGGGTTCACACGGTTTGCGTTACGTTGCCACAATAACACGACCCACACTATGGAGCTGCGGCTGAGCTACTAAAAGTGACGATCAAACCCACTATTCAATGAAACAAGAGTAACCCAAGAGTTGGCGGCGGATACTGTTGATTAGCTGCCTTTTTTTAGTCTATGTGTTTAAAATTAGAGACGGCTATGTGCAGATAGCGTATGTGTAACTTTGCACAAAAATATAAAGGAACAGATTTGTTGCAGTTGTTGCTCTTGTATTGATTTTAGGTTTTTGTTCTTGTTTTCGTGTTTCATCTGAACGTAACAGTATTCTAATAATAGCTCCTTGCTTGTTCATTATAGGGACACTGACCTTAGCAAAGTAAATGAAATAACATTCGAGTTTGAAGTCAGCCAATCGAAAACTGTCTACGACACGACTGGTTTGCAGAAAAAACAAACAGTTCTTGGTGCTGGAAATACAAACTAACATATATATAACTTACCTCTAACTCATTTTCTGACAGTTATATATATACATATCTTACCCCTAACTCACTTTCTGACAGTTATATATATATATATCTTACCCCTAACTCATTTTCTGACAGTTATATATACATATCTTACCCCTAACTCATTTTCTGACAGTTATATATACATATCTTACCCCCTAACTCACTTTCTGACAGTTATATATACATATCTTACCCATAACTCACTTTCTGACAGTTATATATACATATCTTACCCATAACTCACTTTCTGACAGTTACCGTATTTTTCGGAATATAAGACGCACCCTTATTTTGAAAACAAAGTTTTGGGGAAACCTTTACTATACTAACTTTACTAACTCCATTACTATAATTTATTTTTTCATTATTTAGGAAGCATTATAAATAGTTATGTTTTTAAAAGAAAAAACTACTATTGTTATAAATAACACATTCAATTGAACTAAACTATGCATACCGATTTAAATATATTTACACATGACTTGTGTA